ACCTAATTTAATTGACTAAAACCAAATGATCTGTTGAATTATTGGACTATTTTCACACTACATTAATAATCATTTATTAATTAATTTGATTAGATGTAGACAGATATGCTACCATCTTGTATATAACCCATATTGTTATATCTAAATTAATAGTTCCGGAAGCAAAGATTGGGCAGCATCCAGATAGTGTAATAGCATTGCCAATTATGCTATCACATAATTGTACAGTAAGCAGAAATTGTGGGCTCAAGTCCCAATATGGGCTGATTCTTTTCTTCCAGAAACTTCTAAATTAAAAATTAATTTATTACAATTATTAAAATTAATATATGATGACAATATATCTGCCTACCTGAAGTCAAATCAATTGGTACTAATTATTAACATAGCCTGATAATTTGGCAGATCATTTGGCTTTAAGGCCCACCAGTGGCTAAGCAGTTCTGTTCCCTGAACACTGGAAGTTTGGTTGTGGGTTTACTAGAATGAGCTAATCACATGGAGTTTTCTGGGTTTTCTCTATGTCTGTAATGCCTGAATAGTGGCCAGTTACCCTTAAAAGACCTCCTGGAAGGCATTATTCCCTGCATACCAACAAATATCCAGAGAAGGCAACTGAAAACAACTCTGGTATTCCCAGGAATCACTAAGGTGCAAAAACAAAAATGAGATCAACCTATGCCGAGATAATCACCAATGTCGGGAACTGGACATGGCATACAAAAGAAGATCTGGTTTTAATTCTACACATTGTACCAATGGTGATTATATGTACTTCCCTCAGTAAACATTATTTATATCAAATTTATACAATAAATCAATAAATATATCTTATGAAAACAATTGTAAGATCTTTTTAATCATCTAACATAAAACAAACATTCTGAACATAAATATACACTAGGGCAATGGTATTCAAACATTTTAACAGTACGACCCCAAGGTAATTTTCCGCGACCCCATTTGGGGTGGCAACCCATAGATTGAATACTACTGCATAGGGAGTTCTTAACCATTTTCTTCCATGAATCCCTACTCTGAATAATGTTTTTAAATGAATAAAATTACGAAAGAAACCACTGTTATTTTAATAACAGTTTCAATCTAACCATTTAATACCATTTCTACTCTTCTGTTCTCTTTCTTTTCACTTCAAGTAAAATTTAATTATTTATGACAAAGATTTATATATTACCATTAATTAAATTTAAAAAAAAAGCATTGAATATTAGAAATGTGTTAAGATTTTTACAATACAAACTAATCACTCATATAATAGTTCCTCTGTAATTTGCAAAAGAGAAGATCAGAAGATAGAACTGGATTAAAATTGTAATTCCAATTTTGTACAATGTTAATATAGAACATATATTAACATTTGTGTTGTGGCTATAATATTTCTACAAATTTAGTAGTTTATACTAACAACTCTTCTTGAATTTCTTGAAATCTACTCTTCTCAATTCTTCAATCTCGCCTTTCTCATAAAAAGTATTCCATCATGCTTGACAGGGGAATTTCTAGTTACATATAATATTTGTTTTATCACTAATAGACAGCTTGGTAAATAAATGATCCATAATTTAATAAAACTAGAATAATGACATCAAATCTCATTAAATTTTTTCATAATTTGAATACATATCTAATAAAGGACAAATACGCAATGGTACCTTCTACTTCCTATGATTCTAATTTCAAACGTTGCAGAATTAGAGGTGGATAGTTCCAGTCAGAACTGTTTCAAACTCGAAACTACTAGAAACATTTCCACATAGACTGTTGAGACAGTACCAGTTCTGAAACTATCAACACATTCCTCATTTTGTAGTTTTATGAATACAACTTTTAATGGAAAAGTGAACTCTATCTGGATTTGAACATAAAAGTTGAGGTTGTGACAATGTTCCATGACTATTAGGAAATAATGAAATTAGTTTTGAGTATTTTAAATTTAAAGATATTTTTAAAATTTAAAACTTTTATTAGAATTCTTAATTATTTATTATTATTAGTAAACTAGTAGACATGTGTAGCATTGCCCAGCAAAAAAGTAAGAAGGATAAACATTAAAATGAAAACTATATTATAAGTTTGGTTATTTTAAAATACCATTGTAATACTTATGATGAAGTGTTGAGATCAAATAGGGAGGAGAGTGGGACATTATTCAGATTTCATGGCAGTCTATATTTTCCTTGGAATTAATAAGGGGGATGAAATCAGGCAAGGGGCAGAAGTGTCCATGTTTTACAGTAGTTTATATTTCCCTCAGAGTCTCAGAAAATAAGTATAAAAAATTTGGTACAGATCAGGAGTTAATAAGGGAGATGAAATCAGAGAAAGGGCAAATATTCTATTATATATATATATATATATAGAGAGAGAGAGAATAATTGAACAAACAAAAATGTAAATTTAAAAAAATTTAACTGTCTTAATTAAACTGAATATGGAAGAAAAACATTTTATAAACAAGTTGATATAATGCAAAAAATTATAGAGAAATAGTATCAGAGATGTTATACAATCACTATGACCTGTTAAATGGCAATCTAACAAAAACTTATCCAACATATTCAAAGATCAAGTTATCTAATTTTAAGTATTTTTGGAATGGAAAACATTAAGTATAAATGTTAAACTAAAACAACACATGAAAGTAAACATTTTTATTGATACTTTAAAAATATAGCAAGTCTTTACTTAATGTCTGACTGGTTCTTGGAAACTGCAATGTTAAATGAAATGACACATTATGAGACCAATTTTACCATAGGCTGAATAATATAAACAATATATAATTTGGTTAATATTATTCTAATTGGATCATGTTTACAACCTCAGCAATTACTTCACACTTCATAAACCTGTAAAATTGATTTCTACAAATAAAATTCACCCATGATAATTGTAAATGATTACAAGTGTACTTGTGCCTTTCCTCAACACTATGCAGCAAGTCCTCATTTATCGTCACCATGATGTTAAGTGAAGATTTGCTCTACAGTTAACATTTACACAGCAATTCTAATTCTTTACTGAATATACAGAGAATCCTCAAATTTCTCAGTCAATATTTTAAACATCATTCTTACCAGTCAATTATTTAATTTGCATAGTAATTTTAAAATATGATATGGCTTGAAATGTTTATTGTGGCATTTTAAAAATTTTTAAATAATTCATATTAATTTTTTGCTTTGATATGAAATTAATCTAAAAAGATGATCACTGAACTTGCAAATCCAACAAAATTTGTTTAAAAAATAGTTAGTATTTACATGACATGCTTTATCTTAAAAAGTTTTATACAAGAAACAAATTCAAAAGACAAAATTTTCATAAATTATAATGATATTAGTAGTACTCATAAATCAAAATTATAATAAAACTAGCATATGCTTCACAAATTATTTCCACATTACCAACAATACCAAAATTTCAAAATACAATATTTTTATAAACTTAATTAAATATTTTATTTTGGAATTTGGGTATCATCAATAATGTGAAAACTTGTGAAGCATAATTTGTATCGAGTTTCAACACCAATTATATTTAGTGGGATATGCTAGAACAAACAAAATTGGTTCTAGAACATTGTTCATTATAGCATACATTGAAATATACATATTTAGAGGGCAATGTGTTAAGTCCACAGCCTAGAGCAAAGTTACCATTTAATAACTACTTAAACAAGAAAAGTATAAGGGTAAAAACAATATAAAATTAATTTATTTAACTTTTACACACTACACAAGTTTCCTTCTGTTCTACAATGTGAATTTCTTAAGTATAGAAATTCCATTCACAACCTGCAAACTTTTCATTTCTTCCTTGTTTTTTAAAATCATACTGATCATTGCTTTAGCCACAGCCATTCAGCACTCAGATCTCTAACAATTTTTCCACTTTTTATTTGAAAATTATTTCTTCCTTAAGGTCTAAATTAATTAGCTTTCTCATTTTACTTTGCCAGCTCTTGGCTAAAATTATATAGCAGAATAATTTTAAAAATATATTTTATTTCTAAAGATGCAAATGAACAGATATTTGAATCTCACAAACTATAACAATGATTAATGATCTTATCAAGGTAAGAAAACCGTGATATGCACATACTGTCAGCTATGTTCATTGTAGCATATCCCACTGTATTAAATACTAGAATATGTAATTAATTATGTGATTATAAATTTTGTTCTGTAAATGCCAATCTGACGAAGTTACAATGATATATTACCACTTAAAACCATATTCTTTCACACTTTATTCAACAATTAAATCATAAAATAAATTATTCTTGAAACAAAATGGTTTCTGTTATATTTATAAATTAATGTTTATATTTTAAAACCCATCCAATTTTCTCAAAAGAAAACAGAAAATAGTTTGACTAGATAAAATTCAAAACTTGTAAAAATTTAAAACAATTGACTTTTGCAACTCAAATGCAATAATTCACACACAAAAATATATATGCCTATATTTAAAATATTAAGATGTATAATGATATGGACTCTTTTGCTGAACAGCCAATTTATTAATCAAATTTTCTTACAAATGAAATTGTTTATATTATCCATTTATCAACCTATAAAGACCAAAACGTAATAACACAGTTATGCAAGATTTACATCAATTATCATTTAAATCAGGAAATTATATTTAAATAGAAAATGACTGATGTTTATTTAATGAAATGGGGAAGTTGAATAATATGAATGTGTTTGTTACTTGTTATTCAATAAAAAATAAATTGTTAAATCTCAAACTGCTGTTTAACAAAATTAACAAATTTTTCTACATTAAAGTTTGGGATTTACTGTACTGTATATGAAAATGGAGTCAAAGACCATGCCTAATGTAAATTTTATTAATTAAGTTTAACTAAGCTAATGAATAAATGCATATTTTACATTATTTCAATTGAAATATCTTGTTTAATTAAAATCCATTATTAAAAATTAATCCAATTCCTTTTTTTTAATACTTACCTACATACATTTTCTCCATATTCTTTTGATAAAAATCGAGCCAACTGATGCCTGAATTGCCAATTTCCTTGTTCTAATCCATACTGAAATAGTTGTGCATCGCTTTCTAATTCTTGCATCTATAAAACATAATTATCAAAATTATAAAACTTTTTCAACCATAATTTAGCTGATATGATATAATAATAAATAATATAAACAGACAAAATAGAAACAATTAGCTCAGATTTGTCAATAATAATTTTTAACCACATCAAATTCAGAAGTTTTTTAAAATTAATTTCAAATTTTAGCAATTTACTGTAAAATTTGTTTAAATTACTGAAAAAGTTAATTCAAATTATAAATAAACCAAGTATAAATGTATGCAAAGATCTCAAATTGAATCAATTAGAAGGTTTTTTAAAATAAAAATAATTCCTAAAAGGGTGATTTAAGCAATTTTCTCATGCTCATGATTTCTTTTCAATTCTCTCACAATGTAATTCTAAATTTATACAATTATACAATTTAGTAAAACTCTGTATAGTTTCATATTATTCATGGAAGATTTAAATTAAATGATATTGTTTTATTTAAATACAGGATAAATATTTTAATATAAAAATAGATGATAGACATACTCAAAAGTTGTCTTCATTGTAAATAGAATGAAACATATCCAAGATGGTGATGATGTCACTTACATTTAAAGGCAACATAGCTGAAACAGATTTCAATAATGAAATAACTGTACCTTTCAATACTTTTCCAGTACAAATATTCTTTTTGACAAATGTTTTCAGCTTTCTTTATAAGTCTTCCTCAGATCTGTCAGGAATTCACCAACTGAATGTTCTAAAATCAGAATACTGGTAGGTACCAAATATATTAAAATTCAAAATTTAAAAGATGGAACAACCAGGCTACATGAGACCATGTATTTCACAAAATGTCAGGATTTACAAGATGGCTCTAAACAGTATGTTTAAAATATTATCTTCCATACAAATTATGGGCATCCTGTTGAATTTTCTTTCATGGGTTCTCAAAAAATGATTTTCATGCTGCTAATAAGAAATCAGTACTTGTGTTTATGCAAGTTGTTTGTAATGAAGCTTTATATTTCTCCAGTATTTCTAAACTTCTTAGATGGTTCTCATGGATGACTTGTTCAGACATTACTGCCTACAATCTTCATGCATTTGGAAATTTTTCTCTTGAAGATGCATCTCAGGAAGACATCCTTCTGTCATTAATAAAGAGAAGAGAACTGAAAGCAATCATCAAGGCAGATCCAAAACAAACATGACAAATGCTTACAGAAATGTTTAAAGTAAGTAATAAAACTATTTGATTGCATCTCAAAGCCATCAAGAAAGGGGTCAAGGTCAGATGAGTTCCTCATGAGCTGAATGAAAACCATCAGCAGCAATGATTTCTGCTGGGACATCTTTACTCATTTGTCACAGAAATGTTTAATGTACACATTACTAGTCAAATTGAGGAAACAAGCATCTCACACTACAAGATGGAATTCATAAATGGAAGATTCTTCTGTGTGTACATGACTGGCCATGTATTATGTACTATGAGCTGCTTCCACATGGTCAAATAATATCATAGATCTATAAATCTCAGTTTGAAAGGAGTACAGGAAGCTCATTTAAAAAAACAACCTGGTAAATCAAAGCGGTGTTTTGTTTCTACAGAATAACATAAGACCACAAGTAGCATGAACAATAGTTGAAAAATCTCCAGTCTAAGGGCTGTTTCACACTATGACTGACTGGACCAACTCCAAATCATGTTGCCATGACAACAGCAGTTGGTCAGCAAACTAGTACCACCAGTCAGGCAGATTTAAAAAGTTAAATATTTGTAGTTGGGTCAGAGCAGTCAATGAGCTACAGCCAATGAGAGCTTCAAATCAGAGTTTGGATCAATTATAGTTTAGATTTATCCAATCTACGTCGAAGTTAGAAAATGGCGGAAAGTATAGATTTCTCGGAAGCTTTAATAAATGAAGTCAGAACATATCCGTGGCTTTATGATATTCAGCGAGCCGATTATAAAGACAACATAAAAAAATAATTCTTGGACGGAGATTTCCAAGAAACTAAATGTTGAAGGTACGTGATTGACTAATCTAATAATCTAATAATGATGCGATATATCTAAATGCACGATCGCTTTCCATGACCGCCATGTTTTCTGTTTAATTTAAAAAGCTTATCATGATTTGGCTAATGTATTGATCTATAACACGCATTCTGATTGGTCCTTATGAGTCGGCCACTGATATATAATCATACTCAGTGTGAATGTTTTTACTACTAGTCGGTCCGATTATAAAATTGGTCGGGTCGGACCAGTCGGTCATAGTGTGAAACTAAGGTGGGAAATCCATCTTACTCTCCACATCTTTCCCTTCAGACCACCACCTGTTTGTTTCTCTACAAAACTATACAGGTATACCTCGCCTTACGTCGGTAATTGGTTCCAGGAAAACGACGTAAGTCGAATTTACCTGTCTCCGAATCTACTTATCACTAGGAAAGCATTTTAAATAATATATGGTTAATAAAAATCTATTTTAAGCTTACAAACAAATAAATTTTAGTTTTTAATATAGTACAAAAAAAATAATCTAAATTTACAATTGCGTGTACTGTAAATACAGTACATACTTGTATATATTTTAATATGATTTTATGTGCTTTAAACGTTTATCTAGTGATATTACGACTTCAATATTTGTGGCGGACAGACGTAAAGTCGAATAAAATGACTTAAACTTGATTTTTATTTTTCCATATACTTTTTTAACAAGCGACGTATAATCGGGAACGACGTAACTCGAAACGACGTAAGTCGAGGTATGCCTGTATTGCAGATAAATCATTTGCCAATTATGACGATATTTAAAGAAAGGTTGAATTTTTTTTTTTTACCTACATGGCTACAGAATTTTACAAGAAAGAAATTCATAAGCTTGTGGAACATTGTATTCTATGCATTATATAATAACTAATCCAAAACCTAATTTAATTGACTAAAACCAAATGATCTGTTGAATTATTGGACTATTTTCACACTACATTAATAATCATTTATTAATTAATTTGATTAGATGTAGACAGATATGCTACCATCTTGTATATAACCCATATTGTTATATCTAAATTAATAGTTCCGGAAGCAAAGATTGGGCAGCATCCAGATAGTGTAATAGCATTGCCAATTATGCTATCACATAATTGTACAGTAAGCAGAAATTGTGGGCTCAAGTCCCAATATGGGCTGATTCTTTTCTTCCAGAAACTTCTAAATTAAAAATTAATTTATTACAATTATTAAAATTAATATATGATGACAATATATCTGCCTACCTGAAGTCAAATCAATTGGTACTAATTATTAACATAGCCTGATAATTTGGCAGATCATTTGGCTTTAAGGCCCACCAGTGGCTAAGCAGTTCTGTTCCCTGAACACTGGAAGTTTGGTTGTGGGTTTACTAGAATGAGCTAATCACATGGAGTTTTCTGGGTTTTCTCTATGTCTGTAATGCCTGAATAGTGGCCAGTTACCCTTAAAAGACCTCCTGGAAGGCATTATTCCCTGCATACCAACAAATATCCAGAGAAGGCAACTGAAAACAACTCTGGTATTCCCAGGAATCACTAAGGTGCAAAAACAAAAATGAGATCAACCTATGCCGAGATAATCACCAATGTCGGGAACTGGACATGGCATACAAAAGAAGATCTGGTTTTAATTCTACACATTGTACCAATGGTGATTATATGTACTTCCCTCAGTAAACATTATTTATATCAAATTTATACAATAAATCAATAAATATATCTTATGAAAACAATTGTAAGACCTTTTTAATCATCTAACATAAAACAAACATTCTGAACATAAATATACACTAGGGCAATGGTATTCAAACATTTTAACAGTACGACCCCAAGGTAATTTTCCGCGACCCCATTTGGGGTGGCAACCCATAGATTGAATACTACTGCATAGGGAGTTCTTAACCATTTTCTTCCATGAATCCCTACTCTGAATAATGTTTTTAAATGAATAAAATTACGAAAGAAACCACTGTTATTTTAATAACAGTTTCAATCTAACCATTTAATACCATTTCTACTCTTCTGTTCTCTTTCTTTTCACTTCAAGTAAAATTTAATTATTTATGACAAAGATTTATATATTACCATTAATTAAATTTAAAAAAAAAGCATTGAATATTAGAAATGTGTTAAGATTTTTACAATACAAACTAATCACTCATATAATAGTTCCTCTGTAATTTGCAAAAGAGAAGATCAGAAGATAGAACTGGATTAAAATTGTAATTCCAATTTTGTACAATGTTAATATAGAACATATATTAACATTTGTGTTGTGGCTATAATATTTCTACAAATTTAGTAGTTTATACTAACAACTCTTCTTGAATTTCTTGAAATCTACTCTTCTCAATTCTTCAATCTCGCCTTTCTCATAAAAAGTATTCCATCATGCTTGACAGGGGAATTTCTAGTTACATATAATATTTGTTTTATCACTAATAGACAGCTTGGTAAATAAATGATCCATAATTTAATAAAACTAGAATAATGACATCAAATCTCATTAAATTTTTTCATAATTTGAATACATATCTAATAAAGGACAAATACGCAATGGTACCTTCTACTTCCTATGATTCTAATTTCAAACGTTGCAGAATTAGAGGTGGATAGTTCCAGTCAGAACTGTTTCAAACTCGAAACTACTAGAAACATTTCCACATAGACTGTTGAGACAGTACCAGTTCTGAAACTATCAACACATTCCTCATTTTGTAGTTTTATGAATACAACTTTTAATGGAAAAGTGAACTCTATCTGGATTTGAACATAAAAGTTGAGGTTGTGACAATGTTCCATGACTATTAGGAAATAATGAAATTAGTTTTGAGTATTTTAAATTTAAAGATATTTTTAAAATTTAAAACTTTTATTAGAATTCTTAATTATTTATTATTATTAGTAAACTAGTAGACATGTGTAGCATTGCCCAGCAAAAAAGTAAGAAGGATAAACATTAAAATGAAAACTATATTATAAGTTTGGTTATTTTAAAATACCATTGTAATACTTATGATGAAGTGTTGAGATCAAATAGGGAGGAGAGTGGGACATTATTCAGATTTCATGGCAGTCTATATTTTCCTTGGAATTAATAAGGGGGATGAAATCAGGCAAGGGGCAGAAGTGTCCATGTTTTACAGTAGTTTATATTTCCCTCAGAGTCTCAGAAAATAAGTATAAAAAATTTGGTACAGATCAGGAGTTAATAAGGGAGATGAAATCAGAGAAAGGGCAAATATTCTATTATATATATATATATATATAACCAATGAAAAACCAAGTCCAACAGCAGTTCCGACAGAATATAATGATTCTGTGGAACTGTCTAGTCCAACAGACTAAGCATATCCAAGAAACCATTCCATTGGAAGAGTTTTGCACATGGATCAGTTCCAACAATTCCAGTCCCAGAAGTGGAACTGGATTTTTTAAACCTGTAATTCAGAGTTCAAACATTATACTAATATCAACTAATATAATTTAAATAAATACAATATTCTGTTATTTAAAAAATTTTAATATTTATGAAAAAAAATTAAAATTAAAATGATATATAATGATGAGTACGCCTCAAGTGGACATTTCGCAAAATGTAACTTTTTTGACTGAAAGAAAAAAGAAGAATTTTACGTGAAATAAAAAATATTGATAAAAATCGATATCTCAAGAAAAATTGATGGAACTTGATGAAATTTGATACTTAAATAAAAAAAAAGTTAGCAGATGAAGATGATATTCATATTTTGTCTGTATATCTTTATATATACATATAACTAACACCTTATTCTTGCCGAGAAATATAAATTTATTCCAAACAAACGTTTTCAACCTGATTTACAGGCCATCGTCAGGTTTATAACCAAATTCGAATTAAAGGATTCCATCAATGGAATACAAAATTAAAAATTAACTAAGCAACGGAATAAGATAAAAATAAAATTAAAATATTAAATATCCAACGGGGTAACACAAAACAAAAATGTAAAAATGTACATAGAAGTATTAATACAATTATTATGACTGGTTAGAGCTCTTATTAAACTTCTTAATTATAAACTTCCATGTGAGGGATGCAGAAAGTCTTCCCTCTGCATGGAAGTTTATAGTTAAGAAGTTTAATAAGAGTTCTAACCAGTCATAATAATTGTATTAATACTTCTATGTACATTTTTTACATTTTTATATTTTTGTTTTATGTTACCCCGTTGGATATTTAATATTTTAATTTTATTTTTATCTTATTCCGTTGCTTAGTTAATTTTTAATTTTGAATTTTGTATTCCATTGATGGAATCCTTTAATTCGAATTTGATTATAAACCTGACGATGGCCTGTAAATCAGGTTGAAAATGTTTGTTTGGAATAAATTTATATTTCTCGGCAAGAATAAGGTGTTAGTTATATGTATATGTATGATTTGCTGAGTACTTTATAATTTTATTGTATATCTTTAGTTTTTTTTAATAAAATGTGAATTTGGATAAACAGAAAGCATTCTAATTCCAGTATAGTAAGGTTCACTTTGTTAAGCCGTTCATTCATTTGCTTGCTTACTTGACAACTTACCGAGCCTTATGATATTTTATGATAATTATTGTTTTTCAAGTTCAATAACTAACTTATTTTATTTAAATAAGTTAATTATTTAAAATAAACTTATTTTTAGTATTTAAATAAAAAATATATATTGTTTAATATGTTAAACAATATATATATATATATTTTAACAACTATTTAAGAATAAATAAATTAGCTCTTCATGAATAAAAGACTAACCATTCAATCAAAAAAGTGATATAAAGTATATAAATAAAATATTTGTAAATACTAATATATCTGAAAAAATTTATTTAAGTGATAATTAAAAAGTCAAGATATGTCACAATAATAATTAATACAAATATGTAATTTTAATCAGTATGCTTGTTTGCTACAAACACATTTAACTTTTAATTTTTCTGTAATTCAATAAACTGCTTGTTATTATTTGTATTTATTTTTTTAAATTTTATAAATTGAATTAAATCAAAATTTTTTTTACCATTCGATAATTAGTTGCTTGTTTCATGATGTTTGGCAGCATCTGAAGTATTTCGGTTCCTGGACCTCCTGCATTTAGATATACTAAATTTCTTCGATAATAACCTTTAGCATGAAACACACTATTGAATCTTTGACTTTCTGCATCTATAGTTGGAGATATAACAGATGTATCCATGCTATCTAAAGAGAGGAGAAAAAAAAATTAACAATATCATCATTCAGTAATATAAAAATTGCCAATGTTCATCAAATTAAAAAACTGTACTATGAAAAGAATTTTATCCTTGAAGCTATTAATGTTGTAAAAATAGTAAAGGCAAAACATCAAAATAAAAAAAAAGGGAACAAATGCAGCCTTAAGGTAAAAGTGACATTCTAAAAAAAAAAAAAAAATCATAATAATAATAATAGAAAACTTGAACTGAACTACAAATTCTTAGTTGGAAAAATCTCAAATGTTATTTATAGAATTTATAATTTTTACAATTCATTTTATTTTATATTATCAAAAGTTTACAAATGATAAAAATACCATTAAAACTACAATCGAATTAAATACGAACATATTAAATAATACTTTTTATTAATAAGAACTTTTTTACAGATTATTTTAAATAACAACTTGCCAGGGATCAGGTGCGTAAAATACTGCATGAATTAAAATAACTTTTTCACATCAGCAAAACTATAGTTTTTAAAACCGTTATAGCAGTTTTAGCTACCTGAATAATTTTTTTTTTTTTTTTTTTTTAAAAAGTCAAAGAGAAAGCTACAAAAATAAATTTATATCAAACCATCACCACTCAAATTTAATATAAAAAGTTTTACTAAAACTGATCCAAATACAAACTAGCAGTTACTATATTTGTTTTAAATAAGTTATTCATGTAGATCATTTGACTATAATACTAAAATTAATACCATTATTATAAAGAATTTACTTAATTTCATAAATTTATTTTATAAAATATTAAATATGTGGAAAACTTACTTGATGTAAAATTTAATGCAAAAAATACTAATTTGGCTATCTGCAAATAATATCGGTGATAAAAAATTTTAAAAATTTACCATATGTAATTTGAATTAAAAAATTCTTTGCATAGTTAACTTGATATATTTTGAAATTGTATATGCTAAAATTTCCAAACTAACTGATTAATGTTTAATTAATGTATTATACAGTGAAGTCTGCTTAAGAGAGCCTCAGAATCGCTGCATCATGCTCCTTTATCTGAAGTAATAAAATCACAGTGATGTCTTACTTTATTTGCAATAAATATTAAACATTTCCATCAGAGAAGTTACCACATTTATGTTCACCTATTTCACATTTTGTTTATACATTCATTGTCATAAAAATTAGCACACCAAGGAGTTGTTGTCAGAATCAAACAAAATTGTATAGTACATGTGTGAGTGTAACAGTAATATAAATTATTCCAAAATGAAAGCAAAGAATCATTTATTGTAAACTACAAATGAAAAGTGATTCTAGAACCCTATTGGGCCATCTCTAGCATGAATACACAATGTGATACAAGCAGGTATGTAGGCATACAGGTGCTGCATGGTATCCTGTGGCAGTCCACAGTTCCCACAAGCAGTCTTCTAGTTTGGCCAAACTCCTAAGCTGTTCAAATTGGAGTCCCAGGTAATCCCAAACATTTTCGATCAGTGAAAAATCAGCAGACCGGGCAGGCCAGGGACATGTGGCAATATGGTGGAGACAGTCCTGTGACACACTTGCTGTTTGTAGTCAAGTATTGTCCTGTTGGAAAATGACTCTTGGGAGCCCTGCCATAAGAGGCAACATATGTGGCTGCAGGATGACACTAACATATTACTGGGCTGTCATGGGCCCTTGGATCACTATCAGAAGTGACTAGCTGTCTTATGTGATGGCACCCCAGATCATCACACTAGCTGTAGGAATGATGTGCCACTCCAAAGCATAGGCAGGATTGAGTCTTTGTCAGTGCCCAAACTGAATCTAGATTTGTCACTGTAGACAACCTGCTTCCATTCCACTGCAGTCCAATCCTGTCAGGAGCAACACCACTCCAAACAGAGGCAATGGTGGCTGGTGTCAATGGCAGCACATGTAATGGTTGCTGCAATACCAATGTTCCTCACCCAGGCATCTCAAAATGGTTTAGACAGACATAGGGGCTTGTAATGATGGCGCCAACTGTGTCCGAATGGGGGACAATGATACAGTCAGTTGTGCGAATTCTTGTTGGAGGACCAGGCAGTCCTCTTGGCTAGTAGTCTGTTGAGAGAATCCTGAGCCTGGGTGCTGTGTGTGTGAGCTCTCTCTCTCTCATCGACTGGTCCCCACACTTGTTCACAGTGTTGTCAGAATAGCCTAGATGGCAGGCTTTTTGGCAAGATGACCATCCAGCTTCTCTCAACCTGATGATCCTTCACTTCTCAAACTCAGTTAGTTGTTCATATGGTTTTTGATTGCAACATAAAGGCATCTTTAGTGATACAGCATCCTTCTGCCATAGGTAAACTACAGACAGGATGCCTTTGCATGCTTTTAATGAACTTTAATGCCCTGTGCTGGCATTACACAATGAGCTGTCACACTATAACTCTAATCATTTCCATGTCTGCTTGAGACTAATCTGCATGCAAGTTTCACAGGAATACTACAATTCTTTGGTGTGCTAATTTTTATGGCAATTAGTGTATTTTTATTGAACATTTCTATTGACAAATTTGTCTAGAATTGTCTATTATAAAAATCCATGAGTGACCATGTAAAATTTAAGGTGTGTTGGATTTAAAGAAGTATAGTAACCTAATTTATTTAAAAAATTTGAAAATACAAGTTTGATAATAAGTAAAGTATATAAGTACTTCTCAGAAACTGAAAGTTTAAATGTAAAATAATGCTAACATTAAACATCAGCAGAAATTGAAACTCTGCTGAAGTTTACTTATAAAATAACACTAACCTTAAAGCATATTTCAATTTTAATAATTCAAACAGTTTATTATAAAATAAATTATTCAAATCTAGCAAATATATTAAACTCTTATAAACTACTTATAACAGAGAATGAAAAAAACAAAAAAAAAATCTAGATACACTCCTAGAACAACAAATAAAGTGAGTAAAGGAAGTTTATAAATTTTAAAAAAATGTTAAAATATCATTGCACAAACTGAAATTTCAAACTATTCATAAATCTAGTTATTGGCAGAGGCATCACATGAAAGGAAACAAAGCAAACTTGTTTACTTACAGTATTGTTGACAAGTGTATCTTTACAGCAATGTTTACAATAATTACTCGAAACTGTGATTACTTCTTATGAGAACATCTGACAACCTTCATTTATGAGAATACAATTGACCCTGCTGAGGATTTCGTCGCTTGAATATCCGTTGTGGCTGCACATATGCAAGATATACCTGGCATCTTGGAAACTGTATGCCAATCACTCCATCGACACTGCCAAGAGTGTATTACTGTTGGTAGACCCAATTTTGAGCAATTATTGTAAACATTGCTGTAAGAATGCACTTGTCAATGATACTGTAAGTAAACAATTTATGTTGCTTTTCATATGTTATTTCTTATGTTAGTGCCTCAACACATCACTTGCATCCATACTTTCCTATACAAAAATGTTTCTTTGTAATGTGCTCTACTATCCCCTTAAAGTTTGTCCCATGTAATCACTGTGTATCATTTATTGTTACAGAATGTTAGCAGAATCTCTTCTAACATTCTGTACAATTGATGCCTGAAGCAGTCCCCTAATGGAGACCGAAAATGTTTGTTTTTATGATTCCAAGACATATTATCTTTGCTGGAAGAGTATATATGGTATTTTATATTAATTAATTTTTTCTTCCTTTGTACTATTTTTAATTTAGTAATTTTTATAATTGTATGTTCTAGAAAGGCTTTTGTATTTAAAATGCTTATTCTTAAATTTTTATGTTTTGACAGTTGTAATATTCTTTCTAATGTAGTCTTAGGAGGATCTTTTAAAAATGTAAAAAATGTTTGCAGTAAACAAGTTTTCTGGAATTACATGGAGTTAAACTGGATAAAATGAAATTCCAACATATCTTTTAATTTATAAATTTAAATCAGCTATAAAAAAAGAATTGGTATGTATAAATCAAAACGAAAAATGTTTACATTGTACATAAATATGAAAAAAATTGTGCTAAAAGATAAAAAGATGAGAAAACTAAAAACACTCCAAATTTAAATTTATTTTGTCTGTCCTTCATCAAAAGTGGAAATACAAAACACTTCAAAACCTGTTACGCAACTGTTTCTAAATATAGCTGATACAATACAAAAAAAGCTCATGTAAACACTACAGAAACGTTAGAAAAACAAACCATCTACAATGTAACATATCTGTTAGAATTCCGGAATATTTTTATACTAGAATAAATTGACTGAATCTCAATTTGAACTCCGATAAATCCAATAATATTTTAGAAAATGTTATTTTAAGGATTAAAATGTTCTTGAATTTATCACAATACTTATTTGAAACTAGAAAAAAAAATCAAATCATAACAACATAAAAAAACTATACTGATGAAAAATTCAAGGCTTATCAAAGTTCAACTAGGACAACAGTTGTAGCTATTCTTGATGTTTATAAATTTCTCACATCATCTTAAAATATATTAAAAATGTTTTGGGAATTCAGTTTATTTTATTTTTTGTCATCTGATAACACTCTTACTGTGAAAAAAACCAAATCAATCTTTTTAAACAAAACATAATGCTTCAGTTAATTTAGATGTTATTACTGTATGAACTAAAACATCGGAATGAGTAAATTTTAACATTTATTTGCTGGTGTTTTGGTGTTATTGGTATAAAGCATTTAAGCTTAGCTCAAATGTCTTTTTAATTTTCACAGCTCATTGGCAACATTTCTGGTATTTCCTATATTTTCAAACAATTTTAGCATAAAAGCAAAATATTTTATATTCAGAGATCAAAAACAATTTTTAAAAGTTTTCTTTATCTAATACAATAGAATTGCAAAATCATATATCAACATCTCAAAATTTGATGTTACTAAATCACAGCTAAATTATTGCTGTAATAGAGAGGTTGAGGCAGACGTTTTAAACGTGTAAACGTGTAGGTCGGATGTTCGGCGCCGCTTTCCCGTAAGCCTAAAAGT